GTTAGCTTGAGCTGGTATGAAGTCAATTGATGCGCAGCGGCGTCTCGCGATGCGATTAAACGGCGCGCAGGGGAAAGCGAGCAGTAGCGCGACTAAACAACGACATCGCGACGCCAGGCGAGGGGCGGCGAGGGGGAGGCTGCAAACGTACGGGAACTCATGATGGCGGCAGTGAAAGATGAAAACAAGTAACAAGAGACTCAATTCATCCAAGGAAAGAAGGGAAGGAAAAGAAGGAGCTGGGATGCGCTCGAGAAAAGAAGGGTGCTGGCAGGATAGGAGGAGGCGGTCCTTGAGTCGGGGGCCAGCAATGTGGCTTCAAGCTCCCAAAATGCAGATGTGTCCAGAAAAAGAATGGGGGTGGTGCACGTGACCCTTAGGCTACGCTCGAACGCTATTGGGGGATTTTAGGGTACCGAGTGGTGGAAGCAGCTAGGAAAGACAGTGCTGGGACTATTATAACGACACAGAGATGACCTATTTCACCAGCCCATCTACTCTTTTAAAGCCAGAAAGCCTAAAAAAGCCATCATTCGATACTATCGGTTTTTTTAGACTGTTTTCTGCAGGCTTTTCTTTGCCTGATCCTCTAGTTCAGTAGTAATCCTAACTGCCTCCGCTTCCTTTTCTTCAGCAAGAGTCTGGAGGTAGCTACCTCCGGCTACGCGAGTGAGGCCTGTTTTGGGATAGGGCACTAGATAAGTAAGTCTGTTTTTTAATAGATACTTTTCCCCTATCACAACGCTGTCAGGCTACTATTATGTGTTAAAAAAACAAAAAAATTATAAGCTGTGTCAGATACGTTGATAGCGTTGTGACAGGGGAAAATTACATGTTGGACAGAACACGTGTTCAGTGCCCTGTCAAAAAGAAGGCCTCGCGCGCGCAAGTACCTAATTATGCAGCAGTTCACTCTGCCCACTTTTGATCCCCAGAGAACATTTCACTCCTTGAAGTGAACCAGAGGCATTGTAGAGCTTTTTGACTCGATCCGACTGACAATTGGCATCATGCTTCGGGTCTGGAGGCAATTGATATTCCCGCGGCCAGCAGCTCTGTTTTTTCGACCTGGTCACATCGCTCAGCGGAATATTTCCAGTATGGGAGACGAGCACTCAGCTTCGCCGCGCCCCTTGCCCCACGACGACCTTTCACAAGGAGCAAACTCAAAAGGCCCCCAAGGTTAATACCATCATTTACCCCAAAACTAGGCGCTTACTGACCCTGTGCTCCAGGCAACAGCCTTCATTCTTACACTGGCGGGAGATGGCTTCATCGGGACGCACTCCAGCGAAGCTCTCGTCATATTCAGTTCGACTTCTCGGCGCTCTGCGATAAGGCAATTCGCGCCTGTCCAGGAGCCACCAAGGTTGTCCAGCATGAAAAACGAGAAGGCGGCTTTAATAGAGTATTCATCTTAAAAATGAATACTGGCTCTTGTGTCGTGGCGAGGCTGCCAACCAGTATTGCTGGCCCACCAAGACTAACAACCAACTCAGAAGTCGCAACGATGACATACTGTAAGCCCGATTCGCAAGTCTCGACTTATATATTCGGCCACAATGCTCACAAGCCTGTGCTTTCATGCAGTACAAAACAAAGTCGAGCTCCCGATACCGAAGATTCTTGACTGGAATGACAATGCCCTGAATCCAGTGGGCGCAGAGTATATCATCCAGGAGCATGTCGCGGGCGTTCAGCTACCCGAAATATGGCCAACAATGGATATAAGACAACATATGTTGTGCACAAAGGCGCTTTCTCTAGCATTGAAGCAGATGGCATCCTTGAATTTCCCAGCCTACGGCAGTCTCTACTTCTCGGATGCGCCAATAGAGTCAAACTTGAAGATTCCCCTAGATCAGGGCTTTTGTATTGGACCAAATTGCAGCTCAGTTTTCTGGAACCGAGGTCCAGGTGAATCCGCACTCTACGGCGGCCCTAGCCCGAACTGCGGTCCCTGTAAGTCAGATATTCTACACTCTCTCGCCAACATAACTAACACGAGAGGGCAATACATAGGGAAAGATCTTACAAGTTACTATCAAGGCTTGATAGAGACCGGTTTCTCACGTCTACCAAAAGAATCCACTATCCACGAGACTCTCCCTCACCAAGGGTCAATCCAAGAGCACATGCGTCTAATAAAAGCCAGCCAGCAAGTGATGCAAATGTTGGCAGAAGATGCGCGTGTACAGGGCGCTTCTGCTGCGACTCTCCTTCATCCCGATTTTCATATGAGAAATGTTTTCGTGTCTGCTGATGATCCGACTGTTATTACCGGCCTTATTGACTGGCAATCGACAAGCGTTGAGCCTGCATTTATTTATGCTAACGAGACGCCTGACTTTGCTGCACCTCCCGAGGAGCCAGATGAGGAAGTGCCCAAGACCGAACACTCGGAACAACAGTCCCCTGCGATCCAGGAACAAGCGCGGAAAGATGCCCTGATCTGTTATCAGACATACGATGTGTTCATGAGGGGAGCCATTCTCAAGGTGCGCGATGCAAGACCACTTGACCCATCTCTGTTCCGAGTCTTTCAATACTCGCACACGTCGTGGAGGGACAGCGCTACAGCACTTCGCCAAGAATTGATCGAACTTACCGCGCTCTGGACAGAGCTGGGGCTGCCTGGCGCGTGTCCGTTTTCTGTGACTGACGAGGAGCTGAAGGAGCACATTCGAGACTATGAAGATTTTGAGACTGTGCAGAGACTTAAGTTATGGCTAAAATCTGCGATGAACACCAACTCGGACGGGTGGGTTTCAAACGAACAGTGGGATACTGCGATGGACGCCCATCGCGGTGTGTATGAACAGTGGATAGAGACGGCAAGAGAAAACGAGTCGGATAGCGACGGTATGACGGTGGCAAAGGCCGACAAGCTGTGGCCATTTGATGCTCGATGAGCAGTCGAAAGATGCAACTTATGCTTGTAGATTGTGTGGTTTTAAAAAGCTGCTATAATACACGTCAGGTATTGTAACTCTTTACAACTATACCCCCTGTCATTATTGCTCTAATTTTATCTCTTATTCAAAAATTACAATAGTCGAATTTAAGAATAGAATCAATAATTTACCTATATGTTACGAACGCACACAAAAATGCAGGCGATACAGGGCACCAACACGCCGGGTTTAGAAGCTTTCTTATAGCGCTAATCCCATTGACCCGCAGCGCTTCCGGGCATATCCAGGCCCCTGAGAGGACACCCTACCTCCTACGTCCCCTGCTGAGTAAACTTTTGGAGAAGCTCTGTGGGGTTGTGGGGAGACAACGACTTTACCAGTACAGCAATTTGGCGATGCATGTGGTCGCAGCAGCACCGCCCGGTAAGCAACTCAGCAAAATCGAATGCTAAATCGAATAAAGTTTATGTTCCGTCGACATGTCTCTACAATGACAATGGCAAATTCCACGGCTCCAAGGGAGCCGCTCGTCGTGATATTGGGGTCGACAGGGACAGGAAAATCTGAAGTACGCCAATGACGCATCAGTCCATCTCACCAAAAACCAGTACTGACAAGCTCGGTAATCAGTTGGCAGTGGAAATTGCAAGGCGGTTCCGCGGAGAGGTCATTAACTCGGATGCCATGCAGCTCTACCGCGGCCTGCCCATCATCACCAATAAAATCACAGCTGCCGAGCAGCGCGGCATCCCGCACCACCTACTGGACCGCATCCCTCTCAGCGACATGCCCTGGGATGTCACCGAGTTCAAAAAGCACGCTCTGCAGACGATTCGCGAGATCCGCAGCAGAGGGAACCTACCCATTCTCGTGGGCGGCACGCACTACTACGTCGAGCCGCTGCTCTTTACAGACGCCATCCTGGACGACGTGCAGCAGGACGAGACGAGGTCGTTTCCCATCCTCGAGGCCTCGACCGAAGACATGCTCACCGAGCTTCGCCGTGTCGACCCTGACATGGCGCAAAAGTGGCATCCCAAAGATCGCCGCAAAATTCAGCGGTCTCTGGAAATATTCCTGCACACAGGCAAAACGGCGTCAGCGCTGTACGCAGAGCAGCAGGACCGCAAAGCCGCCGCCGCCGCTGCTGATCGACAACAGTTGCCCTGGGAGAATCTCTTGCTTTGGGTGTATTCCGAACGCGACGTCCTCTGCGAGCGCCTAAACAAGCGGGTGGACAAGATGTTCACCAGCGGCCTGACCGAGGAAGTGCAGCAGCTGCGGCACTTTCAAACGGCGAGCGAAGAAAACGGCGCCGTCCTGGACACGACCAAGGGCATCTGGCAGTCCATCGGCTACAAGCAGCTGGCCCCGTTCGTCGCCGCCGCTTCCAGCGGTGCGCCGGCAGACACGGTGGCGAAGATGCAGCACGCCGGCCTCGAGGACATGAAGACGGCCACGCGGCGCTACGCCAACTACCAGACCAAATGGATCCGCGGGAAGCAGATGCCGCGGCTGACGCAGCGCGGCGACGACGCGCTCGCCAGCCTGTACGTGCTGGACAGCACCGACGCGGCGCGGTACCAGACGACGGTGGTGGCGCCGGCTGCCGCGCTCGTGGGCCAGTTTCTGCGCGGCGAGGCCAGGCCGCACCCGCGCGACCTGTCGGACCTGGCGCGGCGCGTGCTGGATGTGGCGGCGGAGCCGCCGGTGAAGCAGACGCCGATGCAGCAGACGTGCGAGGTGTGCCAGACGACGCTGGTGACGAGGGAGGCATGGGACCGGCATGCGAAGAGTACGGGGCATCGACGGGCCATGCGCAAGAAGAAGAGGCTGGCGCTGGTTCCGGTGGAAAGGCCGGAGAGAGTAGAGGAGGAGGAGGGGGATGACGATTCAGATCTGGGGATATCGTCGCTCCTGGAGCAGCGATGAGAAGTGCTGGTAAGCCAGGGCGACCAAGAGCAAGTAATAAAGCCATGACTTTATTCCAAGGCGAGTCAATAGCTCATACATAAACAAAAACGTAAAATGATTCTACAGGCATTACGTGCATCCTAAGAGGCCTACGAAAAGGATGTAGCTCGTTCATACCCCTTTGTGCTTTCTATCATCTTCTATTACACCCAGAAACTTTTGCAGGTTCAAGAGACCCTGTTCATCACCCGCCAACGTGCCCGACAACTCCTTGTCCACCCAGTGCTGGCTAAAGTTGCCGCCCAAGTCAATCAGCCAAATATTCTGCTCCCGGTCAACAATAATATTCGCCGGCTTGCAGTCGCCCCAAAATAAGTCGGCGTTATGCAAGTCCTCCATGGTGTCCTCAATCTGGTCCGCCCACTTTTGACGCTGGTCGAGCGACATCTTGGCCATGGGAATTTGTCTTAGTGTCGCTCCGTGGCGGGACGCAGCGACCCATTCCCGCACGAATCCAATGACGACGCCTGTCTCCGCGTGCGTCACGTAGCCGACAAGGTGCGGCGTCGCGATGCGGATGCCCAACTTCGCCTCGGCGTCGTGGATGCGCACCAGCATGTTCATTTCGCGCTGCGTCTCCTCGCTCTGCAGGCCGCGCTGCGGCGTCTTGCTCATCATCAGCTGGCCGTCGGCGAGGCGGACTTTGCACACGGGGCCGTCGCCGCTCGAGAACTCGTTGCACACCCGCAGGTCGGCAGCCGAGTACGTGGGGAAGCGCGGGTCTGGCGAGAAGGTCGGGTCGGGGCGCGGCAGCGTCACGGGCTTGGGGGCGCACACGGCCTGAGTGGCCGGGATCTCGAAGATTTTGACGGCGCCGTCGACGGTTTGCAGACGGAAATGGATCTCGGGGTGCCACACCAGGTCCTGCAGGCTCAGGCCCTTGGGGCGTTTCCGCGGCGGAGGCGCCTTTTGGTCAAAGAGGGCGCCGGCGAGACGGATAACGGCCTTGTTGACTGGCTGTTCAAAACGCTCGCACTTGTCCCAGCCATCTTCATAGTCTTCGTCATCAAAGGTGCGATTCCTCGCTTGCTCAAGGGCGAGGAAGGCGGTGCGTAGATATCGAATAAGTCTGTTTTCGTACGGTGCTGGGGCGGGTGTGGTGGCTGGCGGCGCGTCAGGAACCGGCGCCGCTACCAACGAGACGACAAGATAGGTGTAGTTGTACCGGAATGTGACGAGTGCATACTCGTGGGAGGGGCACTTGTTGTAGAGAAGCAAACATTTGTCTTGTTCGGCGCGCATTTTCAAGGTCCGGTGACGACCTCTTGGAATATGATCCTTTGGTGGTTGGTGGTCGGGGGCCGGCCATTGCGAAGTCGTCCCTTGTTGCTGGTATTTTAATGGCGGCCCAGGGCGTTGGGGTGGTCGGAGGTCGGTCGCAATCACGTCCGTGGTCCGTGGTCCGTGGTCCCTTACGCGTATTGAAGTTCAGGGAAGTTCAAGGAAGAGCTGAAGCGATTCATTTTCTTGCGTCGAGAAAAGTCGCACTTGCAAGGTGGTCAGTTGACCATTATTCACTTTCCTCTTGCAGGGCGTAGTTTTCGTTTCAGCCGTATAACGCGTATCGTGGCGGAGGCGGGCAAAGCCGGGAACACTGCTGCCATGTTGGGCACTTCGGACGGGTTGGCTGAAGCTACAGACGCAGCCTCGTCAGACGATGCCCTAATAAGCAGCGATGGCGATGTACATGGTTACGGCTACCCGTTCCGAGTATTGTGGTGGTGTGGGTGAAGTACAGGGGTGCGGTATCTGTTGGCACCGGACGGTTGGGTAAACACACGTGGGAGCCATTCGACCGGCGGGCAAGGGGGTTCTTTTTGAAATTGCAGGGAGGTATTGCGACGTCTTGATGGGAGCTTGACGGCGGTGATGGCAGTGGCTGGCCGTATACATGCGTTTGGTTGCGACAGTGATGTTTGCCTGTGGATAGACGAGGTGAGCTACGAATACGGAGTACAGTAGGGCTAAATAGATCAACGGGTGGAGGGAGTTTGGGCCGCGGAGGTGACGGAGTTCAACCGGATTTGTCCATCTGCCCCCGATGCTGTTCGGTGTGGCAGGCAAGAACTTCTGAGCCATAAAAAAAAAACCCGCCAAACCCCCGGAGCTCCCCCTAATTTTTAGTAACTTCATCGTCTGTCAGCGGCGGTTTATTTTAAGCGGCTCCGCTGCCACCGCAAGTCCGCTAACCCGCCTGAGAATGGAGCGTCGCCCGCTAAAACGTCCTGCTAAGCTTTAACCGTGTCGTCAGCCATCCCGTCCACGCACGTCACTCAAACCTGGCTGCTGTATTCTTTCCGCCATTGACTCCAAATCATTCTTTTAGCCCTTTTATTACCTACCTACCTACCTCTTATTGTAGCCTCAATAGAGACCCGCAACTGGTTTGTTGTTCTCTGCCTTGCACAATACATACAAGTCCCCTCTTGGCGACTGCCTGCAACGCCCACCCCGACGGCGAAGCCCCGCCAAGCCACCACTGCTTTGCTCATCCTTCCAACATCCAACCAAGCATCACCGCGGTACCATTGTCGCTGCCTGCAAGGCTTCAAAATTACTTCTCTGCTCCGCCCCGCCCCCCCTCGCTTCAAATCTCCGCGACTCCTTGTTCTATCCGATCTGGCGGGAATGCGGCCTCGCTAGGCAACTGCATTTCCAAAAACAACCATCGCTACATTTGCGCGCGTGGCCCGTCCTCCCCCACGCACCCCTCCATCTTGCGCCGGCCTTAAGACGACTGGCCAGCCGCTTCGCTGGCTTTGATTCTGCCTCAACGTCACCTGAGGCACTTTCGCGCTTCCTCTCCCATCGCCGCGGTGCCGCAATCTCCGTTGGTCGTCCGTCATGTCCGCCATACCACCGCCGTCATTGGCGCCACACCTTCACAAGAACCCCCGAGTACTCGCCTGCGTGCTCTGCCAGCATCGCAAGATCAAGTGCGATCGCAATACCCCGTGCTCCAATTGCCTCAAGGTTGGCATTACCTCTGCCCACCGACATTTCGATGCCTGGCCACTCTCCTCATGATCAAGAGCTAACTGTTGCGACTGTAGGCCGGCGTCACATGCACGCCCAGCACGCCCGCCCCCGCCCGCAAACGTCGCCGCCCCAACCAAGACCTCCAGGAGCGTCTTGCCAGATGCGAGGAACTTCTGAAGCATTATGCGACCGGCGGGTCTCCTCCCAATACCTCTTCCAATCCTCCTTCCCTCTCCACGCCCTCAAGCGCCGCTAGCACCACCAAGAAGGAGGTAATAGACACTCCCAGCAGCATAAGCACCGAATCGCAGACGACCATTCAACCTCGCTACAAAATCATCCAAGAAGATGGTGTCACAAGATTCATGGATAGTCGAATATGGGGAACCGTCGTCGAAGAGGTCAGTTGATGCCACTAGCTCTACCTAACCTCCCTGCTAACAGCCCACAGCTTCAAGCCATGCGTAGTCTCGTCGAGGCCGAGGAGCCCGAGGATTCCAGCATCCTGAGCCCTGAAGAGCTCACACCCGATAACAACACCGACTTGATCCTCTCCCTCGACTTTACAAACACCACTACCGAGGACCTCCTCCCAGATCCCATCCATGTCTTTCGACTCTGGCAGGTTTATATCGACAAGGTCAACCCCCTCAGCAAAACGATACATCTTCCCACAGTGCAGCCATACGTCGTTGAAATTACCACCAACACCTCCAACGTTCCCTTGGACTACCAGGCCCTGATCTTCAGCATCATGTCCATGGCAACCCTCTCGCTCGAAGAGTCCGAGGTTATCCAGATGCTCGGCATTCCCAGAGAAAAGGCTTTGCAAACCTTTAACGCCGGCGCAAAGGCCGCTCTTATCCGCTTCAATTATCTGAAGAATTACAACATGACCAGTCTGCAGGCACTCATGATCTACCTCTTCTCTCTCGAAAGCCGAATCGACACACACTCCGCCTGGGTCATGAGCGCGACTGCTGTTCGCCTCGCCCAAAAAATGGGTTACCATCACGATGGTGAAAAGCTCGGTATGACGCCCTACGAAACCGAGATGCGGCGCAGAATTTGGTGGCAGCTGTACATGCATGACTTCAAGCTCGGCATGTTTTCCGGCCTAAGCCAGCAATCCAGCTTTAACATGAAATGGGATACCAAAGTCCCGAGCAATCTCAACGATGCCGACTTGTTTCCTGGCTCTACCGAGCCTGTACGCCCCAGAGAGGGCCCCACCGAAATGATTTTCGTCATGATCATGTGTCAGGTATTCGATTTTAAACGAATGAGTACCACGGTAGACGAAGAGGCAGAACTCGAGGCTGCTATTCTTGGTCAGAGCGACGAGAGTGAATACGACATCGCCAAGCATCAAGCCATGTTCAACAAATACCGCGCTCGGTCTCGCATCATCGAGGAGAAGCTTATCGAGACAGAGGAAAAGTACTGCGACCCTTCGGCTGGCAATGCCCACATTGCTGCTAGGGCTTTCCGGCCCCTCATGTTCAAAAACATGGAGGAGATCCTAGTCCCCATGAAAGATCAGCCCGAATGGGGCACTGAAATATTTGGACCCAAAGACAACTTGTTCAAGGTCATGGTCCTGGGCTCTGAGCATCGGCTCTCCCTTTACCAAGGCATGAACGAAGCTGGGTTCATATGGTTTATGAGAATCACATTCTCTATTGACTTTTTCTCGTTTCTTACTTCGCAGCTTTGCACACATACCCGCGGCACCTTGGCCGATCGAGGCTGGAACGCGGTCGAATGCACATATCAATATCACCCCGAGCTGTTTGACCTGTCACAAAAGACGCGCGTCGCGCAAACTCAGCTGGCTCTCAAGGCTTGGAAGGCTCGCGAAGCCTCGTATTTGCAGGCCGGCTGGCCGCTCGAGACGCCGCGCTTTATACAGCGCCTCCGTGAGCTTCTTCCATCTAGCGACTGCCGGTCCTCGACGGCGAACTCAACGACGGCGACGCCCGCCATGCCCATGATGGGCCTTGAGATGAGTCAGCAGCCCATACAGACAGGTATGGAAACGGATCCATTTGCGGGTAGCTTCCTAGACATGCCACCCATGAGTTGGGACATGTTTGGTGACTTGATTCCCGCCACCTCGGACCAGATCCCGGCCGCCCTTTACGGCAACTATGGCCTTGGAAATCTAAATATGAACAATCTCAACGGCATGGGTCGCAGGTAGGATGGAAGAGAGGCATTGCGAAAAATTTCAACGGGATATGAAAGGGATATGTATACACATATGGCGCAATCTTCCGGCGAGGAAATTTCGGCGTTGGGCAATATTCTCCTCCACGTTGCACTGTCTGGGCGAGGACAATGACGATACCAGGGCTTACAACGGAAGCCACTAGATGCGCCCGTGCTCTTGATAGTTTCTAGCGTTTTATTGGAGTTTCCTGGATGCATTCTTCCCCCTTGTATCATAATAACCACCACTTCACGATAATTTCTCCACGCTCTTGCAATATATCTAGTCGTGTTACTGAGACGAGCCGAGTACATGAAATGCATATAAGCGGTCCATTGAAGAGCCGGCGAACCACAGTAGTACGTCAGAGCGACGTGCTCAAAGGATTTTGAAATGATGTAGTTTTTGCTTGATTGACTAACCGGGTCACGCAGCAACACACACACACACATCTCTCTCTCTTAGAGACGGCTGCCTTGAAGGATTGAGGCAGCCTTAATTCGCTTGAAAAACGCATTTCCGCTGTTGAAATGGCGCCGAATACCGAACACATACACACGCTCTCTGTCTCGAAGATGGCTTCGTGGCCGACTGAGGAAAAGCGGGGTACAAGGGGAGTACTTACAGTTTGGTATACGATGACGCCATCTTATAGGTACCGTACTAAACTAACCTATTTTTAAATAGGCCGAAAAAGGAAACAAGACCGCAGGCCTAGCCACCGAGGCCGCTGATTGGTTGATAGGTGATTTTGGACCCACTGTTGCACCTTTACACTTCATGATACGTACATTGGTTATGGGTGTTGCTATTACTATTTATCATCGTGGAATCCCTGAAAAGGGCAGATGACGCCTGCGGGGACCTATCTAAACTTGTATTCTACAATTTATCCTGATTATGACCCATTCAACAGGTCTCGTGGGGCTTTCGCTGGCTCGTCATGGGGTTGGAATAAGACCCTACTACCTGGTATGATACGTACATATTGACTAATAGAAACTTAATGTCGCGGTAACAGTGTTAAACTGCTGTTTTATCTTTTTCTGTCCGGCCGCCTATTGCTCTCGGATGATGACCCTTACATCAAAGTTCCTCCGGCGTATGCGACGCCATGTCCCAAGACCAGGCCGGCTGCTGCTCCGGTTCCCGACGGCGCACCCCACTGCCTCGCCCGCGGGCTTATCTGATGGCGAACCAGGCCTGGAATAGGGCTTCTCAGGCCCTAGATGCGACGTGGCCATGAGCCTGTGACGTAATTCGACACTTTGAAATAGGTTGGCTAGTCAAACTGTAGCCGAGGTCTGGTCTGGAAACTATAAAGGGCGGACAGCGCAATGCCAGACACTATTTAGAAGATCCTTGGTATCTGCACTTCATTCGAAATCCTGCTGAACCCGACCTGCTGAACCCGACCAACACGCATCTAGCTCTCTACTCACCACGCATCTAGCTCGACTCACCACACATCTAGCTCGACTCACCACACATCTAGCTCGACTCACCACACATCTAGCTCGACTCACCACACATTCGTCGCCATGTCAACAACACACACCAACCCCCAGGACTCGTTGAAGTCGACCTGGCTCCAAGGCGACAAGAGCAAGTGGCGCTGGCAGCACAAGCTGCTCGCCTCGCGTCTCGACCCGACACTCGAGATGGACGTGCCGGTACACGCCAAGACTGCGCCGATACCGTACCTCGTCGGCTGGCCGCCGCACGCCTTTGTGCTGCTCACCGCGCTCGGCGCCATGGGCGCGCACCAGCTCATCCTCTACGCCACCGGGTGGCGCGCACTGCCCGGCTCGCTCGTCTTTGGCCTGTACTCGACGGCCGCGCTTCACATGCTCGGGCGGCTGACGACGGCGCTGCGGCGCCTGGGCAAGCGCCACGGATACCTCGACGGCGCGCACCCGCGGGCCCCCGTGCCCGACGCCGCCGTCAACGGCATCATCCTGTCGCTCGTCAAGCTGATGCTCGGGCGGCCCGGGCTGACGGTGCTGCTGGCGTACCGGCCCTCGACGGCGCCGGTGGACGTCATGGCCCGGCCGGTGTGGTGGGCGTGGCTTTTCGCGCACGTCGGGGCGTACACGCTCACGCTCGACTTCTTCTTCTACTGGTACCACCGCGCGATGCACGACGTGCCCGCGCTGTGGGCGGCGCACCGCACGCACCACATCATCAAGCACCCGACGTCGATGCTGGCGGCCTACGCCGACCACGTGCAGGAGATGGGCGACTTGGTGGTCATGCCGCTGCTGACGTACGCGGCGATGCGCGTCGCGTTTGGGGACCGCTTCGACTTTTACCACTGGTGGGTGTGCCAGACGTACGTCATGTTCACCGAGCCGTTTGGCCACTCGGGCCTGCGTGTGCTCGGGTCGCCGCCGTCCACGTTTGGCTGGCTCTGGGACCGGCTCGGCGTGTCCATTGTGATTGAGGACCACGACATCCACCACCGCCGCGGCAGCAAGAAGAGCTTCAACTACGGCAAGCAGACGCTCGTATGGGACCACATTTTTGGCACCGTGCTCCGCCGCGAGGAGTCACAGAATGTCGACTGGTCAAACAAGGTGTACTTTCCGATGTCTTAGGCGCTGAAGACGGGGGAGTCATGCGTGAGAATTGCTGATTTGGCGGCCTCAAGTATATGAAGAGTAAGCCAGAAGCATTGGAGTTGCTGACGGCTCACCGAGAGGCCCAAGATGCGAATCTCGATGGAGTGGCAGCGAAGTGAACAAGTGCTGCTTGCTCTCTGGGGAAGTAGGTTATCGATTACGAGACTGAATTCAAGCCTATCGACCAATTACAGTACTCACGTCCGTCGCGGTTATTTTGTTCACCTATTGGCGGCGATTCGTCACCCTCCGTCCAAGTCGCGCGCCGCAGGGTGTTGAAACCACGCCATAGCAGCCCATCAGTGCGAACGTTTTCATACTGGACGGCCGAACGACGAGTTGAAAGCATAGTCAGACATACAAGGAACTCGTCCATTTGAAACGCCGCGATCGTACCCGACAAATGCGGATCGGCCGTTGGAAAGACTTTCGATACAAACGTGGTTGAGGGCTACTTTTTCATGCCATTTCCCGTTGTAGTGGAATGGAATGGCAGGCGCAGTATAAACATTGACAGGCAGAGGGATGCCTTGTTCAAATAACAAGTGCTTTTTTCTCCAATATTGAGAAATAATTTGGGCGTGTTATGCAAGCTGTCGACTCTTCCAAGTGCAAATAGTACCAGTAACGGTAAGCTGGTGATGGTCTGTAAACAGCCAACCGTTTCGCGTTTGTGCACAGCCTCAATGGCGGCGGCTCATTTTGGCGTTGGTGGTGCCAAGCAGCCAAGCAACGATCCGGACCACAGGGAATAGCGGCCAAGCAACTTGGCACGATGCCGGGAGGAAGATCTGGAGAGGACAGTTGAAGGTTTACTTGGCGACAAGTATCATTCGCCTGTTTGGAAGATTGCCAACGTCAACAAGTCGCGGGGAACAATACCGAGGCGGTGCCTTGATTTCACGGAGTCAAATAGGTGGAGCCTGTTGGAATGAATGATGAGGCTCACCAAGGGAACTAGTTATCCGTATCCGTGCATCCATGTAACCGGACCAACCATGTGCGCGCGTCCTAATAAACACTGGCTAATTTGTACACACTTTCATTGTTCCTCACAAACTTTTGACAAACCCCTGTCCTCCAAGCCGCTTGATGGTGCCCCTGACCACTCCATCCGCCAACCAGCATCTGAATCAAGTGGTTCAGTTAGTTACCGCTCGTTAGCACTCTACCGTCTACGGGCGCTACGACCCCCCGTTCTCGTCCGTTCCACGTCTGCAGCTCGCACAATCAACCATCTCGTCCAGTCTTTATCCTCAAACACCAAAATCTGTTGCGCGGCCGCTTTCCCTCGTTATCCGATCCAGCATCACGACCCGGCGTCGCTGATTACTCTTACTCGCTGTGAGGAGCCTCCTCACGCACCCTTCCCTCGTTAGCACGGCCCGTCTTTTCAACTTCCCCTTGTCGAATTACCGCGTCACTCTCACAAGGCAAACGCAATTCCCAACCGAGTCCTTTCTTTGATCGACTGAACAGCCGCCTGTCGCACCGCTCGCTACCGTATTACAACACCTTTGTCGCCCTCCGGTTCGCCCACTCTCGTTCTTGGCTGAGTCTGCGCTTCATGATCATAGCCGCCCAGGACCTTGCGCAGATATGAAAACGTTCACCAGCGTGGCGGCGACTGCGGCGCTGCTGTCGCTCGCCAGCGCCCAAAATACATACTCCATCGACAGCGACGGTATGCCTTGCCCAATCCACACGCACTACTGCTTCTAACACACCCAGATGCCATCAAGAAGTCTGCCTCGCAGATGGCCGAGGATCTGCTCAAGCACTATCACGGAGACGAACCCGGCCAGGTGCCCGGTATTCTCCCCGGCCCGCCTCCGGCTGGACCGTACTACTGGTGGATTGGAGGTGCCATGTGGGGGACGCTCATCGATTACTGGCACGTAACGGGCGACACGACGTACAACGACCGGACCATGCAAGCGATGCAATTCCAGGTGGGCGAAAACAAGGCATACATGCCCAACAACTACACGGCTTCGCTGGGAAACGACGACCAGGGCTTCTGGGGCATGTCGGCCATGCTGGCGGCCGAGGTCAAGTTCCCCGATCCGCCTTCGGACAAGCCGTCGTGGCTCGGTCTCGCCCAGGCCGTCTGGAACACGCAGGCCAGCCCGTCGCGCCACGACACGGACTGCAACGGCGGTCTCCGATGGCAGATTCCCTTTGCCAACAACGGCTACGACTATAAAAACGCCATTGCCAACGGCATCTTCTTCAACATGGGCGCCCGCCTGGCTCGGTATACCGGAAACACGACATATTCGGACTGGGCGGAAAAGACGTTTGACTGGGTGACGGGCGTGGGCTACATTGATGCCGAAACGCACGCCATCTATGACGGTGGCCATGTCGAGCACAACTGCACCGATATCAACAAGGTTGAGTTTTCGTACAACAATGCCGTCTACCTGCAGGGCTGCGCCTTCATGTACAACCACACCGAGGGCGCGCAAAAGTGGAAGACGTGCGTGGATGGGCTGCTGAAGCACGGGCTGGAGCACTTTTTCCCGGAAAACGATATTGCGTACGAGCCTGCGTGCGAGGGTGTCAAGACGTGCACGACGGACATGTTGTCGTTCAAGGGCTATATGCACCGGTGGTACGCGGCGTCGGCGCAGATGGCGCCGTACATTGCCGACAAGGTGATGCCGGTGCTGAGAAAGTCGGCGGCGGCGTGCATCAAGCAGTGCTCGGGAGGCGACGGTGGCAGACAGTGCGGCTTCTACTGGCAGTCGGGTGCGTGGCAGGCGCCGGATCCGCCCAACTCGGGGGCGGCGCAGCAGATGGACGCGGTGGCGGCCATGGTCTCGCTGCTGTATCCCAACGCGAAGCCGGCGGTGACGGCGGACACGGGTGGCACGTCCAAGAGCGACCCGAGCGCGGGCGTGGGCCAGGCCAATGCCTATCACAAGGATCCAAGGCCGATTACGACGGCGGATCGTGCGGGCGCTGGCATCATCACATTTGTGCTGCTGAGCGCGGCGCTGGGCATGTTTGGGTGGATGAGCGTGGGCAAATAGCGTTTCTTTTCTGGACTGGAGCAAATCTGGCTCTTGACATTTCTTTTTCTTTTTCTTTTCTCTTCAGCTTTGTGTGTCCTTTTTACTCTCTTTGTCTTTCTTTATTCTTGCCTTTTGTCAGTAGATTTGGCGTTGGGTCAGGTTGGAAAGCATCAAGTAGCAGTTTCTCTAGATGATGAAATCGCGAGTGTATTTACATGAATATGCCAGCTGTAGACGGCGAAAGGGGCCTTTGTGATGTAGATTCGGCTGGACCAAAATCCATGTCGTTTTTGCTCGGTGGCATCATGGCCAATGAGCAGAAGCTAAGAGTGAGGGCATCGTGGGTCGTTCGTTGGCATCTCAGGCGGGTCGAGATGATTCAGCTATGAGAGCAAATGAGGCTTTCTCGGTGGCTGGCCATTTTCAGCCATCTTTTCTGTTCATTGTTATTGTCCTCCAATGAAACGGCTTGTCGTGCCGCTCGAGGAGGTCATCTGGCCATGGAAGCTGTGCGGGGGAAGGTGGAACACGGTGGGTTGTTTGTGGCTGCCTTGCGCTTCCCCGCGTTTTCTTTATTTTTGCATGTCGTGAAAATTTTACAGGGGCGGGTGATGGATGAGTGGGTTTTACATAATAGTAAAAGGGCGAACCTTGCGCCGTAGGTGGCAACGACGGAATGTACGGAATTGGGCACTGTCATCCATTGAGCCTGTAACTATTTCTAAACAGTCGGAATTTCAGTATTGACTATTGTGTTTTTACAGCGTGCGTAAGCAATTGGGTAATCTGCTGACCAAAGGAGCCATCCCTTGAGCTGGGACAAAAAGAACACAGTCACGCAGGTTCCAGTGACCTTGTAGCCCCTCCCTTTTCCAACTAATTCTCCTGGCGAGAAACCCCCCGCGCGTGACGCCGCCAAGAAGGCGTTGGCATTTCGTAATTGCTTTTGTCGCTTCGCTCCATGTAAATAACATGACCGACTAGAAATGCCGGCGAAGGGGGGGTTCGTTCTAGAATGCGGTACCTAACCCGTCGGTCCGTCCATGTGCACCGCATGGACGACCATGACTGGCAAGGCTTGGTTGCTTGGACGTGGTAAAACCCGTAAAACAACCCCCCCACCGACCAGATGACCTGGAAACGGGCAACGTGGGATGAGGAGATGGATGAAAAACGTAACAAGGCCAAGACATGATGCAAGGTACCTGTGGGTCAGGTTACTGGGTGTCGTGGGAATTCCATTCGGCCAAATCAGTCCTAGTGTCGATGCCGCTTTCACTCGGGCTGAGCTCAAGAGCTATGTAGCCCATTTCGCCTCGCAACATATTCAACCGCGCGTATCACAAGTCTGTGGCTTTGTTGGCCTAGAATGCTATGCTTTAAGTATCAAATCTTTGATACCTACTGATCGTCAAGTTGTCTTTGTCCGATATTCAACACGACCTGCGAGCTTTGGATTCGCTGTGTGATGTATTTCCTTGCGAATCATTCACACTCCGCCGCCGTTTGATGCGTCTTGGATGCCCTTGTATAACTAAAAGAATAACGTGCAGAACGGGTAGCTAAATTAAATAGCCCATAGCTGGATTCCCGAAGACTGTTAGCTGCAGCGCATAACTCAGGCACAGCACAGCTCAGGCTTAAAGCAGCGTGGCTCAGGCCCAGTGGACCGAACTAAAAGGTACTTGTTAGTGTACGTCGAGGGGAAACAGATTTTTTTTTTCAGCAGGTCATCAGACCTTTTTTCTTGGCTCGGCAGGCTCCGCCACCGTGACACACCAAAACAGCTACTAACGGGGCCGCCCACGACCCCACGGCCTGACCAAGTACGCTTCTTAAACGACGACGATTTCCTCTTTGCTGGCCTGCTTCCGTGCCTTTTTGCTTCTTCTACAAACTCTACAAGAGACAAACTACACTACCTGGCTACCATATCCAAACACAATTCGGCTCTGTAATCCGATTACACAACCCACAACCTCGACAAACACCACAACCTTGCCACTTACACACATCTCACGATGCCCTCATACGTCCTCACCGGCCGCGGCGGCGCTGGCAACGCCCACCGCTTCTCCCCCTCGTCGTCCCCTCCCACCACCGCCAGCAAGCCCGCCGTCGCCCCCTCGGCTAGCAGCAGCACGCCGCGCATCG